CAAAATCAGCCTACTATCACCTGAAGAATATATCAAGGATTCGAGGATTTATGTCTCAACAGGATTTGGAAAAACTTGTCCATGCATTTATCTTCAGTAGACTGGACTACTTTAACGGTGTGTTTACAGGTCTCTGTAAAAAGTCTGTCAGAAAGCTGCAGCTGATTCAGAACGCTGCAGCTCGAGTCCTCACTAAGACCAGGAGGGTGGATCACATCACTCCAGTTCTGAGGTCTTTGCACTGGCTTCCTGTCAAACAAAGAATTGACTTTAAAATCCTGCTGTTGGTTTATAAAGCACTGAATGGTTTAGGGCCAAAAAATCTGCTGCTACCTTATGAACCATCCCGACCCCTTAGGTCGTCTGGGACCTGTCTACTTTCTGTTCCCAGAGTCAGAACTAAACATGGAGAAGCAGCGTTTCGTTTTTCTGCTCCACATATCTGGAACAAAGTCCCAGAAAGCTACAGGTCTGCTGAGACCCTCAGCTCCTTTAAATCAAGATTGAAGACTTTTCTGTTTGCTGCTGCCTTTAATTGAACCACATTCAATTAATATATTAATCAATTTCCTGCATTTCTGCATTTTACTACTGTATTTTATTTCTTACACTGTTTTTTAATGTTTTAATGATTGTTTTTATAGTTTCAATGAATGTTCTTAATTGTTTTTAAATCTCCTTTTCTTTTGCCTTATGTTTTGATGCTTTTAATGGTTTTATGTGAAGCACTTTGAATTACCTTGTTGTTGAAATGTGCTATACAAATAAACTTGCCTTGCCTTGATGTGCTGAACACTTTCTGATATGCATCTTGAAGGTGGAATGCACCGGTACGGTCTGGTAGCATGGTGGCTGCATGCTGAGGGGTTCTTTATCTCTTTCATTTGTTTGTACAACAAGAATTCACTTGTAAGTTGGTCAAGTAGCTAAGTAGTTAAGTTACCCTAACCATTCTTGAGGTAGTAAAAAGTAAAATAAGTGTAGTTTGATCTTGTACTCGAATGCATAGTGAAGATACTTAGCAGTAGTGGGGGCAAAGAAATAAATAACAGTGTCATCTGCATAGAAATGAAAGGATATTCTGCCCATGACAATTTAAGTATATAGTAAATAATAAAGGGCCCAGAACCAAACCTTGTGGTACCCCCTTGAGGCCTGGCAACTTTCAAAGTAGCACCCTCTTGTCACGGGGTGTGGTAGAGAACTCAAACGCAGACCAGGCAGAGTAGCGTGAAGCAGGTGTTTATTAAACACAAACAGGAATCGTTACCATAACACAACAGGGAGCACAAGACAAGAGACAAGGGGGAAAATCCAGCAGGAATGAGACAAGGCAGGCAGACGGGGAAACCAGGAACAGGACAAGCCAAACGGGCGGGTAGAACACAATGATCTAGCAGTGAGTGACTGAGAGGCAGGGGTTTAAATAGTGGAACAGGTGAGGAGAGTTGTGCTGATGAGGGAGTGCTTGATTATTGATCAGGGTGCTTGATTATTGATCAGGGGCAGGTGAAGGGAGTTAGACTGGTGCTGAGGGAGTGGCTGACAGGTAGAGTGAGGAGGGAGGAGCTACAGAAAGACACAACACAGAAGGCAAAGCCTGATCGTGACACCTCTAACTAATAAGCCTGGGTTCTGTGTATGAGATAATTGGCAGATCCCCCATGCATGTTTGGAAAAACAATAGCTTGAAAACGTCCAATTAAGTATTGTGGTCAACAAAACAGAGTAAGACAGCCCTTCTCATTATCTAGGGCTTTAGTTATATTCTTTATGACCTTCATTGTAGCAGTGACAGTGCTATGTTTTTTTGTGAAATCCTGACTGTAGATCGTATAGAGTTGATAGCCAGGTACTCTTTTATTTGTTCACTGACCAGAGATTCAATTACCTGAGCCAAAACAGAGAGTTTAGAGATTGGTCTATATTTGTTTCGGACCGCTGGAAAGCCTCCTTTCAAGAGGGGAACAACAAAAGCAGCTTTCCAGTCCTTGGGGATTTTATTTGTTGACAAGGTCTAATTAAAAAAGTTATATTATAAATTATAAAATAGCTATAACTCTGTGATTCTGTCTCGGCCAGCAAAGAAGGCCTTGCTGGCCCTGACGGCCCACACTGTGTAGAGGGCGGGATGTGAGGCTGAACCAGCTGCACACATTTGCGGGTTGATTTGGGATTTATAAAAGGAAATAGCTCACTGGCAGCGTACACAAGGTTTTATAAATCTGAATATATTTTGACGTTTCCTCATTTCCTCCTTTGAAACATTTAGTGTGGATCCTACGCACTGTTTTATAAATGAGACACCTGGCTCTGTGCATTTTCCTTTTATAAATCCCAAATCAACCTGTAAATGTGCACAGCTGGTTTAGCCTCTCATCCTGCCCTCTACACGTCCACATTCAACCAATGCAAAGTTCCTCATCAGTCTGGAGGTAAAGTTAGCAGGTACTCTGCACACTACAGAGAAAAACTGAAGACAGACAAGCTGTCCTAAAACAACCAGCAGCCCCTCAACCCAACTGATCACTAGGAGTGGTTCCCTGTTTCCTGTAGGCGGGGCCATCGGTGTGAGAGTGTGTGTGAATAAACATTAAGATTAGATTGTGATGGGCATTTTTTATTTCTCAATTTTTGTTATTATCTGTTAATGACTTCATCACATGCATGTTAATTCACAAGATCCTTTCTTTGTTGATATTTTTGACAGCCAAAAAAAACCTAATATATGAAGCTGTTTTTTTTACAAGGTTCTTTTTTTTTTAACCAGGCTAAACGGAATGACTGCTGAACATTATGTACTGTATATCATGTATGTATGATGAATATTAATCAAGTAATATAACCACTATACAATGACGGTGACTCGGACAAACACAAAAAGGGAAAACAAGTAAAGGAAAAAAGATTTTAAAGATCTAGAAACATTGAATAGCTATACCTGAAATCCCTGAACATAATGACCAGATGGAAAACAATACAATGTTCAGTTCAAATCAATTACATTTGGTTTTATTTTCTATGGCACAAAATCACAAATTCTCCTCAGAGGGCTTTACAATCTGTACACATACGACATCCTCTGTCTCGGACCCTCACATTGGAACAGGAAACACTCCCCCAAAAAAACCTTTAACATGGAAAAAAAAGGAAGAAACCTCAGGTTAGATCAACAGAGGAGGGAAACTATCAGGATGGACAGAAGTGTGATAGATGTCATGTGTACAGAATGAACAACATAACAGAGTGGAGGAGCCTTCACTCTTCTGATCACTCTACTTCTGAGCCAGAGCCGCCCTTTAAGCCACATTGGCTTAAAAGTGCAAATGTGTAATACCTGGCTACATGTTCCAAACAAATAGAGGCCAGTCTTTCACGTCTGTTACTGGGTCTACAACAAAAATTGAGATTCATTGTATTGTAATGTATTGTAAAGTCATCAGCTATATTAAAAAAAGCAGTTTCTGCTACTTTGGATTCAATCCAATAAACAAACTATCAAAATGCACACAGACCCTGTATCTTCAATGTGATTGACAAGCCCTCTGGACAGCTGTACTTATTTGTACTCTAGACTGAAGACAGGACGCTACGGTGACTCATTATCGCCTATCGAGGCACAAGAGGTATCGCAAGACAAGATGGGTAGAGGATATTTCTGCAACACAATAAAATTTTCAATTAATGTTGGATCATTTTCAAGTTCAAATCTACTTCAAAGTTTTGAACATCTTTAGATTGAAATTAAAACATACATTTTGATGGTATATACCATCTACTGAGAAAATGGTGTATACAATTGAAATCTTTGCAATAGTTCACTATAAAGGAGCTGTATTTAAATTTCAGTTCATTAATATTTCAACAAACAACTATAGTCTATGGCGTTAACTGTTGTCCGGTTCCCCCTCAGGTAAACTATGTAAACTCTGTCAGCACTCTCGCCATAATTTGCACCATTAGCGCTGTTTGCACCATTAGCGCTGTTTGCACCATTAGCGCTGTTTGCACCGTTAACGCTGTTTGCCCCGTTAGTGCTGTTAGCACCGTTAACTGTGAGCTGCCGGCTCAGCCGAAGACGTGGAGAGCGGCTGAGAGGCAACAAAAAAGCTCCCAATCTCAGATTTTGCACCTTTTAAAAGTAATGACATTTTCTTTCCTTTACATTGTATGCCATCATCCAAGAACAGCATCACTGTTATCCTGTTCTACAAACATATTGGAAAAGTTAGGAGTTGTTTTAATGTGAAGGATAAGTTGTTGTTGTTCCTTCACATTAAAGGTCATGCATTGGCAAAAGATCAAGTGGCGTTTATTGTAAAGCAGCCAATGGAAATGCAATCTATATGTCATCAGCATATTGCTTGCCTTAAGGTGCCTTCACACCAAATGCGAATCGAAATTTCGCATTACGTTACTCATGGCAGTTTACTCGCGGGACCATTCATGGTTTTTCGCGTCATTCGCGCTAGACGCGCCGGAGAGGGGGAGTGGCTTATCTCTGGGGAAGTCAACTAAGCCGTTTATTTCCGTCATCAACCATGGAAGAAATTACCACTATTTCTGCTTAGTACGTGTTGTGGAAGTCCCAGATATACCGGGAAACTAAACGCCGTCTTGTCTGGGTTCATAACCTCATCTGTAGGAGCTCAGTGGATTTCATCGAGGTGTCTAGCAAGCCACATGTCGGCTGGTTTACTACAGCTGTATAAACCCAAAATAAACAGATTTTGCTGTGATTTAACTTCAATAAATGGACAAAAATGGATGCCGAAAGAAGTATATAATGATGCCGATTTGCAAAAAGTCTGAATTCCTGTTTTTGTTAGTTCTCTCCGCAAGACGACAAGCAAATACCTTTTATAATACTTGTTTTCTCAATGGAGCTCGGATCGATCGGTACTATTCTATGCTAGCAGCTCCATCAACACTCAACATAACGTCATATATGCGTAAAGATCTTTTTCATTATTTATACCATATGGATTACACACATACATTTATACACCTAGTTTCAGCCGGTCTAATATGAGGTATCGTAGAGCTCTGGGTGCCCACCTACAGCTACAATATTTTCTTCCTGATTTAACAACGGCAGGACATCACTGATCTGATGACAGGAGGAGCATCTCAACGCTAATAGGCAGTTGAAAAATTTCAATGCCCCTTCATTCACCCTGCCCGGCGCAAATTCACGTTTACTCACGTCTGTGCATTGACTTTGTATGTAATCTACTCACGCTGAAAATTTGCACTGCGTCTGGTGTGAACACGGCATTAGAATTAAATTACAGGTCATGTGCCACTATGATGATGATGTACACCTCGTATTTTTATTTCACCATGCTTTTATCTCTTTCTTTCTTCCTACAGGGTCATCGGTCATCCAATCAGCTGACCTGTTTTCCAACACCTCATGCAACATGTCCTCTAATGATTCAACATTCTGCTCTCTTGTGGATGAAGAAGCGGGGGCTGGGAGTTCATATAAAGCCCTGGAGATGTTTTTTATTGCACTTGTTACTGGATCTTTGAGCTTTGTGACTGTCACAGGGAATATTTTAGTTATGCTTTCCATCAAAGTAAACCGCCACCTACAAACTGTCAATAACTATTTCTTATTTTCATTAGCATGCGCTGACTTGATCATTGGTGCTTTCAGCATGAACTTGTACACAGTCTACATCATTGTTGGCTACTGGCCACTTGGTCCGGTGGTCTGTGACCTGTGGCTAGCTTTAGATTATGTTGTCTCAAACGCCTCAGTGATGAATTTATTGATCATCAGCTTTGATCGCTATTTCTGCGTGACCAAACCCCTATCGTATCCGACAAGAAGGACAACTAAGATGGCAGGACTAATGATCGCAGCAGCATGGATCCTGTCGTTCGTCTTGTGGGCTCCTGCCATCTTGTTCTGGCAGTTCATCGTTGGACAGCGAACAGTGCCACCTGGAGAATGTTATATTCAGGTACAGTAATTCAAACTATAACCAATAAAACATACCAGAGTCGCAGCTACTCAAGGTCAGAAACTGCAGTGAAATACCAATCCAGTCTCACGGCAGTTGTTGAAATAGTCACATCATTCAAATTTATTGATTTGTTTACATGGACAAGAACTTTCTTTTTTTTCAAGTTGCTCATGTCGAAAACGTATATTTTGTGCCTAAACCTCTACGTATTTATTTGAAGCCCAACTTTTTTTTTTTCCCAATGTCCATTTTGTTGGGTAATGTCGTCCCAAATCACCAGAAAAAAAATGTGGTGCAGGAACGAAAAAGAGTTGCAATTAAAATACATTAGTTTGAAAGTCATGCAGAGTAATTGGAAGAAAACTGAACATTTTTGTCCATGTAAACTAATCAACAGATTAAACTTTTGTTACTATTTCACAAACTGCCGTTAGACTATGTTGGAAAAACACTCTGGTTCACAGGAAAAAACACTAGAGGCAGACTAAACCATTAGCCAAGATAGACAACTGCCTGGGGCCCCCAACTAAAGGGGCACCAAAGAGTTATAGATTTATTATGATGTTGAGAGGCAATGAACCCCGATATAACTTAGAAAAGGCCCCTCAATTGATTCAAATAAATACCAAATATAATGCTTTATTTTTTCAGTATTTACCCAGCATCATATTAGAATTGAAAGCTTCTTCTTGAACAGAGTTATGTTGGTAAATGTAGGTACATTGTGCTAATAATGCATCACTTTCTGTCTTCACTTGAAGTAAAAATGTATATACAGAACTTTCACTGTGAGGTAATAAAAGTTTTACTATTAATAGTTAATAGTTTTAGTTAGAAAATAGTTAGAAAAAAAGTGGAGGTAGAGGTCTCTGCCTGTTTTTACAGAGCTAGGGTTACAATATTGTAATATTCATATAAACGTACACAGGCTACACCCTCTACAGGACTCTATTGGTACAACATTGCCTCCTGACCCCTTGCCAGAACTGCCTCATAAGAGAGTGGCAAAAGACCGGTCTGTCACAAAAACCTTTGTGACAGGAAGAAATGGATGCTGCATACACTTTAACAGTGGCATGAGACAGCCCTCTATCCACAAAACACTACAAAAAGGAGAGAATAGACCCAACTGCACAGAACAGGGGATTTAGCCTACTTTCTTTACACACACGTTGAAAACTTGACCATTTTGCCTTGAAACAGATAAAGTTGGATCCCTCTCTTGCTGCCTGGATTGTCTGCAAAACCTGTACAAACAGTCCTGCCCTTCTCAGCCTGTCCCTTTCAGGGGCCAAGCCCGAAGAGGAGGTCCTAGAGTGTCTAATGAGGCATCCACCTCATTAGACAGAGCCCCCAAGAACTGGGGATGGTTCAGTGTTGTAGTGTTAAAGTGCTTTGAGTGGTCGGAAGACTAGAAAAGCGCTATACAAGTACAGTCCATTTACCATTTACCATTTAGGGCTGGGCTGCAATCACCTGAGCCATTTCTGCATACCACTGGGCCGAGAGGCTACACGGAGTTACCAGAATGACCAACAACTGCTCCTGCCTCACTCTCTCAAAAGGGGATGTCATGGAACTGCGGAAAGGCTTCAAGCTGCTTTTTTGATGACAGCACGTGAGTGGATCGCCCTGCTGTGCCAGGGAGAAGCATAGCAGACAGTGGGTGTTGCGTTTGTTGGCAAACAGATTCACTTACAACAATAGGTGCTCTCAGGCCCACAACATGAAGCTCTCCGCCATCCTCAACGGGGCAGTGCACTGATATCCGCCCTGCCTTTTGATCTATGCCCACCATGGTGTGGTTGTCGGTCCCTCCCCACCCCATCAGGGGCACATCAGTGAACACCAAGACATGTCTTAGCAGTGTGTGCTGCAACAGGTGTTGTGGGGATCCCCAGTTTTACAGGTCATCTTTTACGGAAGGGGGGGGGGGGGAACCAAAAATTGCTTGTGCTTCCTGGCATCCAAGCGAAGGCTGACAGACCACCTCTACAGGTGTAGGAGCCCCAGCAGTACCACCTGAGGGAGGGGTGGGGGAGCACACCATCGAGGCGTTCCCTCCCATTGTCATTGTCAGTCTGCTCCAAGCAGCACCTTTCTGCTGACGCAGAAGTGAAGGAGTCCAGAGGCATGGGGGCTTTGCCTTGCCACTGCTCCCTCCTCCTCTCTGTCGCCTTGGTATGTTTTGCCTCAGCTGTCCTCCGAGGGTGAGCGTGCAGCTGATGGCGGCTGACATCAGCTGAGTGACAGATATCAGAGATCGGAGATCAGAAGAGCCAATATGTGATGACAGGGGCTCCCAGAAGATTATCCCAGTCCTTCTGTGAGGCAGGACAGGCTGGACAGATGACAGAGGACAACACACCCAAGTTTATTAACAGCTGCGGCTATCTAGAAGTGATCCCACTGCTACTGCTGTTGAATGTTGGGCAGCACTCAGCAGGTCAGGCAGGCTGGTTACTTCTGAACAATGCTCTCTGGGTTGTCTGCCTGGAGGCAATCAAACCAGGCATGGTGAAAATTCATCCCGGCGATGAGGTTGAGACATAACGGGCTCCATCCGTGGAGATGAGCAGTCAGTGGACAAATCACCGTTCACTAAAGATAAGAAGGACAGCAGACCTGCGTCATGTACTGTGAGGTCTGCAGGTATTCGGGTAGGCACATCCTGATTGGCCGGCTACTCTTATGCAAATGTTAAGTGGGTGAATGCATGCTCGTGACTGGAGGATACAATTACCCATAGAGTCCAGTAGCGGGCAGAGCCTGTGTGAGTTGAAATGCCCTTAATGGAGTTAATTTCTAAATAGACCTAGTAACTGCAAACTACAGCATAGATTTAATTAGCAGACTTTTTTTGCTAGCGGTACCGTTGTTATTGTAAATTAGTATCAAGTCTTACACCAGAAACACATTCTGGTCAAAATCTGCATCAAGTTGGTTATCCGATTGTGTTGACTTCAGGGAAGTGGAAAATAGTCCAGTTGTAACGTTAGATCACTAAGGTTAAATCACTAAACCTCTTATATGATATTTCTAATTATTTTTCTTTAAATGCTTACATTAGCTGTTTAAATGGGCTGATCCTAAATATATAGCAAATATATAGCAAATATATCAACCAAACACAGAAACACTTGGATTGCATCCCTGGAGGTGCCAGACAACCTTTGGCAAGACTAAAAAAATCTCATAATAAAGTTGGCATCCATTTAACTTTAGTTACCCAGCATCCATTTAATGGTAGTTACCCAGCATCCATGTCACATATCTGAGGGCGACTGTGGAAAAGTGGAGATCAGGGCCTTCCTTCAATCACAGGATCGGAGGTTCGATCCCCGGCTCTGGTTCCGCTAGTCACATGTCAATGTGTCCTTGAGCAAGGCACTTAACCCCTAATTGCTCCCGTAGCTGTGCCTACGGTGTGATAAGATCTGAATTGTAAGTCGCTTTGGATAAAAGTGTCTGCTAAATGACTGGCATCCAGCAGCAAATCTAACTCTTTAAAGACCAGTCGGCATCCTTGACTCAATGATGGAGCCCCACCCTCCATTTTTTGCTCTGTGCTAGTATGTCTACTACTCTAATACCCCTAATGTATATGTATGGATATTCATAATAATAGACTTTCAATATGATGCAGTGCAATGCAACATCACCACTAACTGACACCATGACAATATACAGTTCAAGCAACACAGTGTGAACGAAAAATGAACAAAGACAGGATTGATTTCAGGAGTATTGGATTGCATGTACCTAATAAATTAATAAATCAATGTATGTATAAAGTGCATATGTATGAACATTCCCTATGGATCATGTAAGAGTTTTTTTCTTTCTTTTTACAGTTCCTTTCGAACCCTGCAGTGACGTTTGGGACAGCTATAGCAGCATTCTATCTTCCTGTCATTATTATGACAGTCCTGTACATCCACATTTCCCTTGCCTCTAGGAGTAGGGTCTCCAAACACAAACCAGAGAAGAAAGAGAAGAAGGGAATAAAGTAAGGAATGAAATGAAATTAATGGAAGTATACAAGTAACAACAAGTAATAACTTAATGTGAGAAACATAGATCAACTGTAATGGCCATAGGCCAACTGTAGGAGCACTAGAACCCATTACCTAATAACAGCATATTGTACTGACTTGTAGCAATCCTGTAATGGATTACATTGTGAAACAGAACATCTGTGGGGCTCCCTAACCCCAAAAACCAGCTCTCGCAATGGTTTGCCAAATCGGGACAGTTGAGTTACAGCCACCAAATGAAGCCTCCATTTTCCTGGACTGGGGCCCACCCTAGATGAAAGGCCCACAGCAAGAGCTTCCTGGCCACCTGGAAACAGCTCAGGGATCTGGTGCCCCTCTGTTGATTTATGCGGTACAAAGTGGAGGAAATATATATTCCTATTAGGAAGATGATGGGGCCTACCAGGGCCAGGTAGATTAGTCTCAACTTCAAAACATTGATGTTCTTGCCCTTCTAAGTGGGCACTCCTCACCATCCTTCCTTTCTTGACTGCTCCCCAACCTGACAGGAAGGCATCTGTAGACACTAAAATCCATTGGGATGGAATGTTCCCCAGAGGGAGTCCTTGGGTTTAAAGGGACTTTTTTTTTCGAAGGGTGCATTGCAGTACAAGACTGCATCTTCTGAAGCTTCACACGCCTGTCCTGTTTTGGATGGAAATAGAAGGCCTCTAACCACCTCTGCAGTGGTCAAGACCTGAGAAGAGCTATAGGGATCAACCCCACTGCTGCTGAAAATATACCCAACAACCTTTGAGACTTTGCCACATCCAACCACCTGCCTAATTGAAACTATTCTAACAGGGAGAAAGATTTCATAACCTTCTGTAGGTTGAGGGAAGCTGAGACTGTGAGGGACATTAGTTGCCTTGAGTCTAAGATGGGATGCAAGTCCTTGTCTTTGTGAGAATGAGAAAATGTGTAAAACCCAGCAAACTGGAGTCTACTCTCATAATAATTCTGCAGGAACAGAAGGAGGCGATTATGTGAGGAAGCTCTATTTGTGAGGAAGTCTAATAACCAGTTGCAGAGGTACTCAAGCTCAGAGTGCGAGTGGAAATCAACAAACAACATTCTGATGTAGGTGTTGTTATTTTCCAGATGAGTGGAGAGCAGTGGAGACGACATCCTCTGTGGATCTGTTGGTTCTGTATGCAAACTGGTGAGGGTCCAGCAATACTGTGATGTTGCTGGAAAACCAGTTTCTCAAAGCACTTCATCAGAAAGGGGGTTAGTACCACAGGGCGATAGACCTTTTAGGTACATGAACGATGGTTTGTCACGTCCGAGGGGCAGATCAGAGACTCAAGCGCAGACACAGACACGCAGTCAATAACAGGAACTCAAAACAACTCCAACTGGGAGTTGCAGGCAGGTGAGTTGAATGAGTGCAGTGTGGGGTTGGCAGAGGAAAGAGCCAGTGGCAGATGATTGAGCATAGTTGAAATGAATGAAAGCAATCAGGAGACACTCAGACACAGGAGGGAGCCGGGAGGAGACCAGGGGCGGAGCCACACAGACACAGAGACACAGAGGGAGCTGGGAGGAGACCAGGGGCGGAGCCACACAGACACAGAGACACAGAGGGAGCCGGGAGGAGACCAGGGGCGGAGCCACACAGACACAGAGACACAGAGGGAGCCGGGAGGAGACCAGGGGCGGAGCCACACAGACACAGGAACACAGGAACACAGGGGGCAAAGCCTAAACCGTGACATGGTTACTGTCTTGAAGCAGGAGTGAACTCTCTCCTGTGACAGTGATATGTTGAAAATGTTAGTAATGACATCAGTTGGTACATGTTCTTAGTACACGACCAGGGATGTTATTAGGACCAGCCGCTTTACTTATATTCACTCTCATCAGGGTTTTTCTCACATCCTCTGTGGATACAGACAGTGGCCAGGTTCGTAGGAGCAGGTTACCCTGAACCCTGTCCCTGTTCACAATCAAGGGATTCAAATGATGACCCATTGTCAGAGCAGAAGAAAGTACCAAATGCCCTGTGTATTCCAAACAAACAGTTTACCCGAAAAAAGGGCTAAATACACAATACCAGTGACTGTCACCTGTCACGAAGCTCCAAAGCTCAGTGATGCATGAAAATAGTAAACAAAGGAATCACTAAATCAAAAATTGGAACCAGTTGCGTGTCACTCACGCTATTAACATTAATTAGCATATACTCCATTTTGTTGCAAAACAAATTATGTGCACAATTAATGATTCATATCTATCTTTGGATGTATATACTGTGCACACCTGATAGGCAGAGATTTTCTAATGGTGTACGCTTTCTGAAAAAAAAATGGTCACGTTTATTTTTTTTCAGAACTCCCAGCTTGATGAAGAGTCACCTGTTAAAGCAGAACAATAACAATGAGACCAGTCCTCAGGCCAGTCCCCGCTCTTCTCCCAAACTCAGTCTAGATTCAACTACCACTGCACTGGAGGCTGTGAAGAATGGCAGAGTGGAGGAACCAAAACCTGTTCAGGGTCCAGCACAACCCAGTCCAGGACTCACACAGGTGCTAACTCGCACACCGGTAACATCTCCATTAACATTTATTGAGTGTTAACTGTAACTAATCTGAAGCTTCATAGTTAGTGTTCTTTCTATCGACCTGTACCTACCTATCTACCTATTTGCCTACCTAGGAGGAAAAAGAGAGCTCCAACGATTCGTCCACAGCTTTTATTCCCCCCACCGAACTAAAGGACAACACCAACAATGAGGTGATATCTGAGGTTGGTATGCAACAGTAAATAACTTGTTTTGTTCAAAAAGGATACAACTGATATCTACAGATGACTACTTGGACAACAAAGTTGGACAACTTTGTCCAAAGCCAAGAGCTGTCAACGTTTCTTTTTTAACTCCAGTATTTCGAAATAAAACTACTGATGAATTAATGAAGAACACATTGAAGAAGAAAACCCAAGTAGCAGGGCCCGATATGACACAGGTGAAATTACCTGTAAGTGACGGCTTTTTGCAGGACAATAATGGTTGGACTGCTCAGTATAAAATGATGATTGCTCCTAGTGTTTTAAAACTGCAAATAAGCAACTGATAAAAACTTGAATACCAGATGGTTTGTACACTCTCTGGCACTTTTGTTGAGGTATACAATAACATCATACACTTTCATGCACCCTACAGGTCACCATGGCTATACAAGTTCCTAACAAAACTCTTGGTTTTGTTACAGGCTGCAGCAAATCCCATTCCAGTTGCCACGACAGCTGCCAATCCTGCAGTGTCCAAGATCAACTGCACCTCAAGGTGGTCCAAGATAAAGATTGTAACGAAGCAGGCCGGGGACGAATGCATCACAGCTATAGAGATCGTTCCCCCTGTAGAGGGAGCCGAGAGACATTCAATCCCAATCAGCCGTCCTCGGACTGTGGCAAGAAAGTTTGCAAGCATTGCTAGAAGCCAAGTGAAGAGGAAAAGACAGATGGCTGCCAGAGAAAAGAAAGTATGTTAAAGTAACACTGCACGGACATGAAGCAAAAATGGATGAACAATACACGGTGTGCTGACTTACAGATGTGCATTACATGAAAAGCAGCTTGTTTGAATGATAGTGGAAGAACACAAAGGCAGATATGTGTTTATAGTGACAGTAAAATCATCTTAGATTATTTTTACAGTTAAATGTTTATAGTTTGCATTGCAATGAAGTCAATTCATTGGTTGGATTATCAGACAAAGGAACAAAAATATCCGAAGGACAACATGTTAGTATAACAATGTCCAGTTTCACTGAAATGTGTGAAAAAGCACAGTAATCATGCAGACACAGAAGAGAGCAGTGTCATTTATTATGACAACAAACAAAGCTGAAACTGGGGTTTTGCATGGCAGCATACAATATTTTGCTGGTTTACATGTGGGACTACCCAGTTTACCTGTAAACGGTACGAAGCAGCTGTTGATGAGTTGCTGTTGAGTCTGTCACTTTGCTTCATTAGTGATCAGAATGACAGATGGCATTTGGAAATGTTCCCCTGAGCTTTTAAAATGAGCATTATCTTAAACCACATTTTTCTGATTTTGGTCCAGCACCCATCTAAATTATCACAAGTCACGATTGAAGCAGTGAGGTAGGCATTTTGGGAGATTTATTGTATACATGATCAAACATTATCGTTAAGAAAATCCCACAGCAGTGTTTCTAATGGCAGCACTCATTTTAAACTTCATGAATTCATTAGAAATCTGTTATGTATTGTGAATGCTTCAAGTTGTTAGAAATTAGAAATTCCATTTTTTTGCAGAATGCGGTCCGTTGCATATAGCAGAAACCAGTGGTGGAACCATATACAAAATTCACAAATTTCACATTGCCTGCTTCGAGTGCCTGTGCGCAAACCACTCAGAGAGTGTTAGGGTTAACCCTAACCAGCCTGCCCGGCCTGCTGATCACTGCCCTGATTCGAGTGAGCTCGAGATTGACGACATCGTTGAGTTTAGTTTATTAGGTTTTTTTACATCAGGGACCATGTACAACAATACATTTATCTCAAAAAAGAGAACACATGTTTTGTACCAGAAATAGCTATCAGCTAATTTCTGCAGTCTCTGGGCAGGTGAGAGGAATCAGTACAACACAGAGCAAAGCACATCATGTCCACTACAATTGGACCAGCAACCTATTGATACACACACACACACAGAATTTATAGGAATAAACATAAAACAGAATAGGCCCCACGTCACAGCCACCAACGCTACGACGCTGCTATGGACACACCATTGAAAAAAAAGCCCTGGTTGCAGGTTTGGTGGATATTCTCAGGTTGCAGGGTCACGCGGTAACATTTGACCTCGGGGCACCTTAAAGCTTCTATAGTCAGTCGGCTGTTCAAAGAGCAGGAAGCTCTACCACCGCTGCTGCATTACAAATATTTTGTATAATATTCCAACTGTGGGCACAGCTAGTTGCATCTGCTAACAGTTTGGGTGTGTTGGGTGTGCTCTTCCCAGCCTATTGTCTCTGCCCCACCTTCTCATACTGACAATTTGAAGCGCAGGGAGTTGCAACAGCCGCTGGTCATGTTATGTCTCTGGCCACTCGAGGTTCTTGCCATGTGTGGCTGTTAGCAACCACATTGTCATGGCCAAGTCCTGAGAATGGATTAAGTTCAGACACTAACCTTTTTTGGATATAAGAGAGGAACATTTTTTTTGAGATTTGAAAAGCATCCCTACAGTCTGGAGAACAGTGATGATCTCAAGTCAAGAGGCGTACCCCTACCGGACGAGTGGAGGCTTCACCCCGAGGTCGTGAAGCAGATTTGGACCCGGTTCGGCAACAAGGAAGTGGATCTGCTCATCACCCACTTCCCGCTGTGGTTCTCCCTTGCACAGCAGGACAATTCACTCGTGCGGGTGGATGCACTTGCACACGTACCTTGGCCAAGAAAGTTGCTTTGCGCACCTTTGCCTCTCCGCCTCATCCCTTGTCCAGTCGATGGCGGACTCTCTGGGATGTTGGAACAAAGGTTACGATATTAGTACCCTAGTTCTGTAAGCATAGGCAGAGCTCTCCACTGAGGGGAACCTGTGACTCCTACGTTGTTAGCTGAAGTGGGTGTGTATGTTGACAGACAGCGATATGAGCTGCCTGATATACTGTGGGGTCCGCACGTATTTGCGTAAGCAGATCCTGATTTGCCAGCTAAGCTTATGCAAATTTTCAGTGGGCAAATGTGTGCTCTTGTTTGGAGGACAATATTGCCCATACAGCCAAGTAGTGGCCTCTGCCTGTGCTTGGCATGGCGTGAATCTGCAGTGGGAGGCTGACTGAACTTTGTGGGGAGACGGGCTCGCCGTCCACTTTTGGTTTCTCTCGTGCCGCTAATTGACACATTTTGTTGATGCCTTCATATCATATCTTACAAACAGTTCATCAGCATCAACAACTGCACCTCCTCCACTGCTCCTCTGTCTCAAGGTGTCCCCCAGGGTTCGGTGCTTGGTCCTCTTCTGTTCATCCTCTACTTGCTCCCTCTTGGTAACATCATACGTCAACATGGTCTCCACTTCCACTGCTACGCCGATGATGTCCAGCTCTACATCTCCACAAAAGCCATTACCACTGCTACTCACTCCACTCTCACCAGCTGCCTCACTGACATTAAATCATGGATGCAAACCAACTTCCTCAAACTCAATCTGACATGATCATCATCGGTCCCAAATCCCTCACTAAAACCAGTCACAACTTCTGCCTCACCATCGACAACTCGACTCTGTCTCGCTCCCCACACATCCGCAACCTCGGAGTCGTGTTCGACAGCAACCTCTCCTTAGAACACCACGTCAACCAAATCACCAGAACTGCCTTTTTTCACTTAAAAAACATAGCCCGTCTCCGCCCATCACTCTCCTTATCTGCCGCTGAAACTTTGATTCACGACTTCATCACCTCCAGAATCGACTACTGCAACAGCATTCTTCATGGCACATCATCCAAAATCCTAAATAAACTCCAGTATATCTAGAACTCTGCCGCCCGCCTGCTCACCCACTCCTGCTCCCATAATCACATCACCCCTGTTCTCCAGAATCTCCACTGGCCCACAACGTTTCAAATATAAAGTCCTTCTCCTCACTCATAAAGCCCTCCATAATCAGGCCCCCTCCTACCTCACCGACCTGCTTCACCACCACACTCCATCCCATCGGCTTCGCTCCTCTGATGCCAACCTCCTCTCTCTTCCACTCAGGACCAAGCACCGGACATGGGGTGACAGAGCCTTCTCCATAGCTGCCCCCTCCCTCTGGAACTCTCTCCTCAAACACATCCGAGCACTGACCTTTCCATATTCAAATCACAGATCAAAACCCACCTTTACAGAACTGCTTTTAATGTGTGACCAATGTGTGTTCTATGTTTTTAGTGTTTAGCATTTTTACGATGATTTTAATGTTTCTAAAGTGTCTTTGAGAATTTTGAAAAGCGCTATATAAATAAAATGTATTATTATTATTAAGTATTTGAAGTGTATCCACAGAGAAAACCCATGTCAGTCCAATAATTGGCTTACAGTTTGACACAGGAAGCCAATTATTGGCTTACTAACTCAATGGGTTAGTCGAACCCATTGAGTTTGACTAACCAGGCTTAGGTGACTAGCATGCTACAGATTTAGCCTCACCCTCAGCTCCATCACAGTGCTATACACTCATCAATGTGATCCTTTCTTTCTAGATGATAGCAGCCTCAAATGAGAACAGGAGGGAGAGGATGATGATGGTGACACAAACCGTCATGATGATGATGGTGACACAAACTGACTGATGTAAATCAGTCAGTTGATATACAATAGACCAGTGATTTTCAACCGCTGTGCACACCAGTGTGCCGTGAGAGATCGTCAGGTGTGCCGTGGGAAAATGTCCAATTTCACTTAATGAGTCCAATAAAATATTATTTAGTTGTGTTGCAAATACTTTGCCATTGTTGAGCGTCTGAGCTGCAATATAGTGGCTGGCTAAGTAATAAATACTCTTCCATGTCAGTGGGTGGCAGTAGGTAGCGCAGTAATGACAGTGTTAATTTAAGACAGTAGAATGAAATGACGTGTGGGAGAGGTTGCGGTGACAAGACGAACAGCGATGGAGAAATATTTGAAAAAGGAAAAATGCAGACTCTGAACTGGGCCCTGGACAAAATAACCGAGATGAAAAGCCAAGTAAGGATCAACACATTTAGAGACTTGTCATTAAATTGTCAGCATATATCCGGCCCTCGGTACAACGGCCCGCCAGAAAATATCATATGTTTATCATAACCGGCCCGCCACACCACAGAGCTCCGGGACGAAAAGTGGTGATGTTGGCTTTTTGCGCAACATAACGAAGCATCTCACTGCGCTAAACCTGCAGTTTCAGGGACGGGGACGTGTGATCACAGACATGCATGATCACAGACATGTATAATGCATTATGAGCTTTCCAGGACAAGCTGCGCCTATGGGAGACTCAGATGCAGCAAGGAAACTTGGGTCACTTTCCGTGTTGCCAAACCGTGTCTCCACCGCTGTGTTCCCGACTGCGCATTTTGCTGATAAACTGGGCACACTTGGCACAGAGTTCACTCTGCGATTTGCCGACTTTGTAGCTCAGAAATTTAAATTTGAACTGCTCAGCAATCCGTTTGCAGTTGAGTAGAAAAAGCACCTGTGCACATCCAAATGGAGCTGATAGACCTCCAGTGTAATGACACACTCGAGGCAAAGTATGACTCTGAGGGTGCTGCACAGTTTCCAAGCTTCATCCCCGAAACGATGCTTCAACTCTGCCTACATGCTGCTCAAATGCTCTGCATATTTGGAAGCACATACCTGTGTGAGCAGCTTTTCTCTGTGATGAAGATGAACAAAAGCCCACACAGGAGTCGTCTCACTGATGCACCTTCACTCCATCGTGAGGGTTTCCACAGAACCTAACCCCAGACTTTAATGAACTGGCAGCCAAGAAGAAAAGATGCCAAACATCTAGCTCTGGCACATATGCATAAAAGAATGTAGCCTATTTGTCCAATATCCCTTCTATCTTGTTTATTAAATGGTCACTCTATTTGGCCCTCAACGTAGTCCCAATTTCTTATGTTGTCCCTCCCTGGGATTGAGTTTGACACCCCTGGCATACTGTATATGCTATATTATGCTGAAAGGTGTCATTTTGTAACGTTTTTGGTTGCTGGTGTGCCGCGGGAAATTTTTAATGTAAAAAATGTGCCGCAGCTCAGAAAAGGTTGAAAAACACTGCAATAGACAGCCAGTCTGAAGCAAACGAATAATTTGCTAATGAGTTTATTGTGTGTTTGTGATTGGTTAGGCCTATTTAACAATTTAAACATCCTCAATCATTTAAGATCAAACACCACTCGCAGTAAAGATAAAAGTGTAGACTTGAAGATTCAAATAAATGAACAAAAGCTGCAGAAACATCTACTGAAACATGTAGTTTGGTATTCCTCTTGCAGGCTTTGGTGCTTCTAAAGAAACTCTAAAGATCACGTAGATGTGTGTCAGAATCAGTGTAGATATGAGTTCAAAGCATTAATGCAATCCTACAATATATTCTGATAACATTCATTGCTAATGAATCAATCATGGTCAAAAATCGATAGGTGCCGAGGATCAAACCCCCAGCCCTGCTGACAGCAGACTATGTCCTGAGACGCCCTGTCCTCTGGAAGGCCATGCATTGGCAAAATAAATAACATTACCAGCATTACTTTGTGACAGGAACAGTGTATTTCTATGTTTTACCTCACAATTGTTACAACAATATGTCTGCTGCCATGATTACTTGGCAAAATCTTATCTAAGATTCTATTCTCTGTGCAGTTTTTTGGCATCTGATAAGCTCATGGATCTACTTTCCTGATTTCTACTTCATTGTCTCATCAGTAACTGAAACAATATGCCCACTCCAACAAATATCATTGTGTTAATGCAGGATTGTTTTTGCCTGAAAGTCAGCTTAGAGAGTAGGAGGTACAATCATGTCCAACCATAGAATCTAAAGAAAGGGAAATGATACAGGAGCTGATTTGACTGATCTGGATTTTCTGAATAATACACCTTTTAACCAGAGATGTTCTTCAAGCAACATTAGCTTCAATTCTGATTGACCTGTTGGACAATAAATAATGTTCATGATCTCAGGCTACATCCACACTAATACAAAAACCATCTCCGTCCACACGGCTGTTTCAGCATCGTTTGCAAGTAGATTTCTGTCAATACTAGCAAGCCTGAAAACGAATATCACGTGACTATTCACGTACACTGAGCATGCGGGTGCAGGTTTAAACAGACAGTAGATTGGTTGCTTAGTTACAGAAAATACAACAGAGTAATATTAGGGTATAATATTATAGATATATAGTCTTTAATAGTCAAAGGTTGTGCTTTATACTTAAGATCTTCCTCTAAAATCTTCCTCTATAAAGTCAAACAGACAAGTTTTAGAAGTTTTATTTTTCAGACTTAGTTAAGTCTTGCTCTATCTCTCTCACACATCAAATTTACTTTAAAATCAACACTTATAAATCAAAGTTTACTAGATTATGGGTCAATAAATGTGGTCAACACACGTGTCTCACTCGTGTCCTTCGTTTCAGTGTTGTCTGGTCTTACCTTCGTAGCTCTGCTGGTGGCTGAAGTCTCTGTAGAGCAATTACTGCTTTTGATCCTTTACAGTTGATGAGTGGACTTCACAATAGTTGTGCAGAACAAAATAAGCATTAATAACAAAATGTCATGACTGACTTTTAAGACCCAATCAAGGAGCGAACGCGGGTGTCTACGTATGCGTTCAAACCCGTCCACACAGAGCGTTTTTGAACTCCTCCGTTTTCGGTGCTCTAAAACTCCGACCTAGTGTGGACACTCAGTGTAAACGTAGCAAAAGATATGCGTTTTCAAACGGAGACGTAGTGGTGTGGACATGGCCTTAGATACTGATGTTATATGACTATGTCAATGTTAGAGAAAAAGTCAGTACTTTTAGAAAAAAAGGTTTGTAATGAAGTGCACTTTTTTGTTTCACATAGTACTCTCTAAATGATATACTTATATTTTCTCTCCACAATTTCAGTTTATTTTAGATATCAACCTGCAGAGTGTTAAAAAGACTTGAGGTAATCAATCTTTCAGAGTGAACATCATTCCCGTGTTATAATGAAGTGCTTACTTTTCAAACCAGTAGACACTCAGCCTTTTGACTACAAAACATGAGAGAAAATGTTCACTCTCATGGAATAACTACCTCAAACAAGTTTGAATTCTCAACAAATTGATTTTATACCACAGTGAAATGAATAAAAGCAAACGGCTGCCTGGAGACGAGAAAAGATCATCAGTGTTCTCATATTCCTTCTCTCTCTTTTCTTCCTCTTCGCTATAGGTGACCAAGACTATCTTTGCCATCCTGCTGGCGTTCATCATCACATGGACACCGTATAATGTCATGGTGTTGATCTCAACCTTCTGCCAGTCTTGTGTCCCTGACACTGTGTGGGCTATTGGCTACTGGCTGTGTTATGTCAACTCTACTATCAACCCAGCTTGCTACGCACTGTGCAATGCCACATTCAAAAAGACATTCAAGAACCTGCTTCTGTGCCAGTATAAAAATATTGGTACAAGATGAGATGGAAGGAGAGGACTGAGGATGGGATGGATGGGGAAGGGCATAAACCACTGCAAGAGCCAGAGGAGGAGAGAGGAAATATTGTTGAAAGGTGAGTGGAGGAGAGCTGAAGGAGCTGGAGAAGAGAAATGGATGACAGAACTTAAAGGGGTCCATCTAAAGAGAAGTGGGGGTGAGCAACTCTGGTTTATTCTGTAAATGATTGCCAGTCATCCCCATGGTACGAATAGATTCAGAGTGGAATGTGAGTGTAAACCAGTGATTCTTTAACCTGCCCTGATCCCTGATGGAAATAATCACCATGCTGTTATTTGATCTATCTATGACAGATGTGTTTCCAGTCTACACTGTGTCACTGCCCTGGTAATTATAACAGGCTTTCTGCTGGCTATCTTAAATAAGCTGCAATGATTCAGACTTGCACTCACACTCAATTGTAACTAAACATAATTCATAATATTATGCCATGAAATAATGTATCAATGCTGTATGCATGTTAGTCTCCTCTATGGATCAGATGGAATGCATAAAGTATTGCAAGGTAACTCAAAACGTATTGCCATTGAACGCAAAAAACAACAACCTGTGGCCTTTTGGTGGTCATTGTTATTTAAGTGTAGGGCTTTGAAAGCAATTAAACTGGTGGTGATGTTTATCTAAATGTATAATTTTTATAATGTTTTGAACTGCGATTCTGATTGACACTCCAAATTGTGTGATTGGTTCTATATTATAGACAAAAAAATAGAAATAGATGAGCTCTACACTGAGAGGAGTGGAGGGATGACTGGGAGACTTTGACTGCGACTGAAGACCAGGCAAAGGGGAGGAGAGTAAGGAACAGTTGATATGGTGGAGGACAGAGGTTTGAAATAGCATACCACACACTGTGGCAGCCATGTTGGAACGCATCAATAGCAGCTAATTGTAGACAAGCTAATTGTGCTTCTTAACTCTCTCAGAGCTTCTCCTATTTGAGACATATTAGTGCTTTTCCCTATGACATCATGTGATCAGTTTGTGTTTAGGTCATTCCAGTTCATAAACCATCAAATAACAATCTGGTATGACAACTATCAACGTCTTGCTTTGAGTGAATTTGATTTGCATACTTGCATGTTATAGAACGATAGAGGTTAGAAACAGTAGTGGCTAAGCTCAGTGTCCTCAAGCAGGCTACTTGCCTATCGTCGCCTGCAGTTTCATAGCTAAAGATGTTAAGTTCTAAATTCAGAGTAAAATTATGATTGAGGGATTTCCTAACAGCGCTAACAGAGCTAACAGTGTTTACCTGAGGGGGAACCAGAGGGTGGATGCTACGTTTATCACCTGTAACCTCCGTATGAGAGCAGTGCAGAGTGACCGCCCTGAGCTAGCCAGTAGAGCACGCTCACGTGCACTAACATGCACTAAAAGCATGCGACTGGCCGTCTTTGTGAACAAAAAGAGGGGACACTGTGATATCAACACACACAGGGAGAGAGACTTCTTTCTCTGCTCATGTAGACATTACTCCTCTATATCTTTACATCTTTATATATTTGTTTGATGAGATATTAATACTCTGAATTTCTAATTTAAAACTAGGAGCACATATTGTGTTTTAAAATCAGTCCAGTAGTACGTGGATTTCTTTGAGGTTTTTCTTTAATGAGATTATTGTGATGATAATCTTAATGTGGCATATTTTGAGAAAAACTAAAGAAAAATGTTTTTGAGGCAGACAGAGGAAAAATGAATGAAATGTATTCCTGCTGTTCTCCACCACAGCTGACCGTTAGTGAAGCATCATGCTACTGCATGTGTGTGTTCAGGTCCTCCGTGTTTTAGATCGACTTTACTAATTCTGTGGTCACATCAGATGGTTGGTTCAGATTAGGACCGACATACTGGATCTCTGAATGTCCTCTACTGTTTTATAATATTAGAGAATTTAGTGTACAGCATTAAGCTAGCTTTTACAGTCACTGAGTTGGTTTGTTTTGCACTAAGCATGCAATGAGTTTCTCTTCTAATGAAATTCACTTTCTAGCTTCAAAACTATAAATACACGATTTGTATTGTATAGTCTATTGTATTTGTGTCACTAAATCCATCTAAACACACATTCTTTAACACTTAATGAAGCGTTTATGTATCTCTCCTCCCATGGTATAGAGGTAGGGAAGGAACCAAAGACAAAGTAAGAGGATGGGAGAGAACATGGGGAGAGATGCTAAAGAGAAAATATCTGGATGAGAGGAAATGACTGAGGGAGAGGGTAGAGGGGATGGGGAATAGAAATTTAGGAAAAAGGAATGATGAGCTTGTGGAAGAAAATTAGGCCACAATGGGATGCATTGTTTCATGCTTTCTACGACATTGTGCACATATTACATTTTCTGTAGTTCTAATCACAGCTTTCGTACAGACATGTATTGCATCACATTGTTTATTTCTAAACACTAATCATTTACAATATGGATATCACAACAAGTAGAAGAAGTGAAAACATCTCCCTTTATTGTCAGTAGTTGTTCTCAGTGAGACACTGGAGACGAGCAGGAACATTTCACAAGCGTTTGGTGAATCATTCTGCTCTTTGCTCTCGTTTAGTCAGATCATTTTCACTTGCTTTCTCTCTCTTGTTGGATTTCTATTTTTTTGTTTAGCAACATTATTGTGGAGCATTCATAACCAAATACAACAAGCAATTACACTGAAATTATAACATTTTAAGAAAAATAATTCTCCGAAAATAACAGGACATTTCCAGATAATATAGACTGAACTTTTGTTCTTAATGTCAGCTGTCCAAGTTGTAATAACTGCATAGTGATAGTACTACTCCACAGTGCAACACCTTCATCTGCCTTCATCTCCATGGAGCCATGTCCGTCTTCATCCAGTGTTCACCTGGATACAAACACATTTACGATGTATGATCGGAACCCCCGTTCCTCCGACTGTCTCTGTTTTCTGCACCTTAAACTTTTTTCTTCAAGTTCTACCACCATTTCAACTTCAGATTTCATCATAAAAAAACGTTTTATTTGTCTTCTCACAATGAGAATAAAGCCTGAATGGACTTGAGAATGGCTGCTCAGTGTAAAATGAAGATAGAGGAGAAAGAGAGTAAGTGGAAAGAAAAGTGAAGCCTGCAGGAAGTGAACAAAGGCAATCACCAACAGACTTCAGAAAGGATCATTAGCTGACGTACTAAACTGACAAGATTTCAGAACAAAAGGATGACAGCAGAGTTTAGGGAGATTAGACTGACTGGAAGAATGAAAGCTTCACTAGGCACGGTTTTCATGAGGAGGTCCATCCATCATAAACTGGGCTGTAACAGAGAAGAATGCCAAACATTTATCAAATTCTTGTACTCTATGAAACTACTGGTGAACTGATATCCTCAATCTTATATTCAGTGCAGAGCCCCTTCAAACTCAACTAAGCGTTTCTCATTTCCTTGATAATATGGCACACCAATCAGCAGGATGACATTGTTCCATCAGTGCTCTCTAAAAGCATTCCAAATTCATTTTTAATAGGATCGATATGACCACTACAGTTATGAGTAGCTTGGGTTAGGGAACGATTAAGGAACCTTCATCATCAGGGTTAGAAGACCAACTATCTTAAGCTTGGAGAATCACCATTGTCCTGGTTCAGAACAACGTTAGGTGGTCCTGATGGTCTAGGGTTTGAAGACACATACCGTCTACTGACCACACCCCCCTGTTTGAGTCTGTGCCCTCCTGTCCTGTCAGCTCCTACCGTCTGTGAGCTAGTGCTGCGCTCAGAAGCCTTCTAACACCACAGTATTTCAGGGTAGAGGTGTCTTCAGCTCCATGACTGCTTATCCCTCTGAGCCCGGCAGAGAGAGCAGAGGTGGTGGAGTGGTGAAGACCCACAGGGAGCATGGAGAGCTTTGATGCTGTGGGCGTACATTAGCTCTGACAAGTATGATTGAGGTTCCCTCACCTCCTATCACATTGGAACTAATTGCCTCCCACCTCCAAAGACTTCACATGATTGGTTTTCCATCGTACACCTCTACCAGGAGTTGTTGCTCATAGCTGGACCCTCAATACTTTACATCAACTAAATTGCTTTCACTGCACCAAAACATATCAGATATTACCAGATAAATCAGTATTTATTTTTTTACCTGTCTGTGTTAAGACAACATGAAACAATTAAGTGCTTGTGTTAATTAAGTTTGGCTTATGTCATGCTCAAAATGTGTTCATATTCATCAAAGTTAGTTTTGACAATGCAATTATCTTTTAAAATCCCTACAACCACAGTGTGTGTAATCTATATTAAAGATTTGAAATCCTACTGAGGCGGCTGATGGCTGAGGCAGTTGTTGGATTCCTCTCTGTCTACCTTTACCTTACCAGTTCATCCAGGCACAGTTAGAAAGTAGCAAACAATATCTCAGCTCTGTGGCACCGGGGGAGAACATGATTGGAGAAGCAGCCACCTTTGGCAGGAGGAGAAACCATTGGTAAAAATGTACATACAAAGGTGACCTTGTTTTCTACAGCATGAAGGAAAACCAAGAAAAGCAATGACTTTGCTGAGAACAGTATTATGATAGCTGTTCTCATCCCAACTCGTCACATACTGACGCTTTGTTTGACCCATCACATTCTCTCTGAGCGTCTAATACAGACGTGGATGGGTTACACTGTAGAGTGTCTTCAGTATTTGATGGCCTCGGAATGAGGATGGGCTGGATAGAACCAATGACCAGAGGGCCAAAATAAAAACCAAGTTGTACAAATCAAAGGGTGATTCTGGAGGCTTGTTTAAAAAAAATATAGGTACATTTTTCAACTTACCTCCTAACTTTTAATATTGCAGTAGAAAGGACTCTACAGTAACAATAATAAATGTGACGAGGCCGCCACAGCCCCCCCCCCCCCCCTACTTCCTCCCCCTGCAGGGAGAACAACTGTAAGTAAGGATCGCCACAGGCAAATTAACAAGCCTCTCTCTCTCTCATCTGTCCTGGGGTTAAAACAATGCAGCAGCCCCACAGGAAGCTCACTGTCCGTGGTGCTGCATATGCCTTAGCCCCACATGGTAGCACACACTGTGTGTGTACATGCAGCTTGTACTAGCAACACTATTTTTGAGGCCACCACCTAAGAGAACCCCTGATATTATAAAATGATTGAAAATCCTTTAATCAGCAGGTGGAGAATCACGAATGCTTTACCAAAGGTGCCACATGGCCCACATGTCTCCATGGTCAGCAGGTCTGAAGAACCACTGGATCCACACTCTTGTTCAGTAGATGTTTTATCTGATGATACTTGATGACTTAAAGATTTAAAAAATAAAACAGAATATACGTTTGATTTAAAATCACATGGTCTGTATGTAATTGGGGATGAACTGTACTGAAGTACCAAACTGAAGCAGGCGCCTACAGAAACCTTCATTAGACACTTTGTTTCATTTGGTAGTTCACTGTGAAACACTGTCCACACGTGTTAAAGATCTGTATGTTAAAGTCAATGTAATGTATATTCAGAGGTAGTAACTAGTCACTAGTGTAGGAAACATTACTGTATGTTCAAATGTCAATTCTAAGCTCATTTCTGTAAATACACAACACAATAATTATGATTATGAATACTGATAATACTATATCACATACTGAATCATTCCAAAGAGAGGACATGTGGTCCTTGTGTTCTTTCAAAGTATATGAAATATATTTACCTCCCAATGTACAGAGCATGAATGTTGTAGTGATCTAAAGACATTGTGAATTGTAGTCGTGAGTATTGCTTTTAAAACTTCAGCTCAATGCATCAGTTAAGTGACAACAACACATTTTCACTCTGTGGAGGATCAACTGATTCGTTCTTTTTTATGTCATTAAGATGACATGTGTTTGATATTGAGAGCTGTAAATCTGTAATATAAAAGTCAAAGTGAAGGAAATATAAGCTCTATGTAATGTTTCCTCTTTGTTGATAACCATCTGTATATGTACTGTATATGCTGAACCTGCAACTCCCCAAGAACTGGGTTCCCAACAGCCCACGGGACTCTAACAGAATGACTCTTTAAAGGGTAAATCAACACTAAATACAGCAGGTTATTCTGGAATCAGGGGTGCACACACAACTGAACATTTCTACCCTTGAGCTCAGACGAGGGTCTCTTTGTCAGGACACAAAAAAGCCTTTCGAACTTCAGGACCTCAACAAGCCTTAACTTAAGGTGTAGCCAGGCTCTGCCTTTGTTTCCACTGGTATCACCAGTCATGTCACAGTGCACTGACACACCCTATGGTACACTTTTACATCACAGCAGCAAAGTGAGAAGTTAAACCCCTGAAGATCAACAAAAACACAAAAAGACTTTCAGCTGCAGTTAGGTTGCTCTGTGAGATGAATAATGACTCTGTAACTCAGGATTCATGTAGTGGAGTAAATAGTAAAGCAGTATGAAAGTAGGTTTTACTACTTGCTAAGTAGTATCTTATTTAACTGTGTATAAAACTCTTTGTTTGGTTGTGTTGGGAGGAAGAAAGTAGTCCAGTAAAGTAATGGCACCTTAAACATGTACATGAAAATGATTTGTTGTCTCCTACAGATCGCAGAGTAACAGTATTCTGCTGCTCTCTATGAATCACGGTTGATTTACTCTTTAACACATTGAGTGCCACTATAGTTAGGTCCTTTTCTTAGCTTCCAGTGGTGGCTATTGGGAAACCCATCAGGTGATTCTTTCTGTCTGTATATTGCTAAATGGCTCTTTGTACTTTCTCTTATACTTTTTCATGTGAAACAGCATTGGAATATACACATCATTTTCACAGCAACATAGAGCCGCACCATGCACAGCACACAGCTTTTGAAATGAAATGTATTGAAGATATATTAGAAGCAACTTGTGTTGATACAAAACTGTAATGCTAATAAACACCTACTGTTGAAAGGTTGGATAATGTGTGTTGTCACTAACTACATTCAATGAACTGATGTGAAGATGGCACAGCCTTTACACTGTATACAAACCGTATCATTCAGTGTCAATGTTCTCATTGTAATGAACCCTGCCAGACGTGTTTGAAGAGAAAAAATTAATTGTGTTCGAAAAAATGATATATATATATACTGTATATATTTCCCCAAATTCAATCTCCTTTTTAAAAATCTTAAAAGAACATCAACCCTTCACCCAGAATCTATTAATATGTACATGTTGTTCCTTTCTAATGACTAATTGATAATGAATTGAACACTTCACATCATTCTCATTGATGAGAATGTGAAACAGTTTCCACACCAGATGTGTTGAGCAGCTTTAATCAGATGTTTCTATTTCCCTTTAAAGCTACTGAAAGCAGTCGTTATGTCCTCTGGTAGGACGTTCCATTGAGACAGCTGACTGTCCCACTGCAGGGGGACAACAGAGTACCACAGTCTCTAATAAATGCATGTTTCTGGACATGTAACGGAGGAGGGGACAATAAGTCATTTCAAATTTTGGACACAAATTTAAAAATAATCAAAAATTCTCAGAGTTCAGAAGATGATGTTTCTTCAGTATCCTGCAGTGATGATATTGAAAACTGCATGCAATGTAAAGCAAACTTGTTTGAGTTAAGAGAAGTCGTCAGCTGTTCAATGACAGCTCACTCAGCAACCTCCTTTCTTTCAAGATATTCATAGTCAGATCCACAGAAGCACTCGTTGGTAATGAAAGATCTCAGACTCCCTCTAACAATGCTCATTATATATGTATATACAGTATGTAAATATTTATAAAATGAAATAAAATTTAATAGAATATGTATGTGTATAATAGCAGTGGGCAGGAATGTTCTCCTGTATCGGTCCTTGTGAGGTGGATGAGTCTGTTGGAGAAAGTGCTCCGCTGTCCCTACAGTAGGTGGTGGAGAGGGTGGTCCGGGTTATCCAATATGGATAATAGTTCTTCAGTGTCCTCCTCTCCACCACCTCTTCCAGATAGTCTTGTTTGTAGCCAATGATGGAGCCGGCCTTCTTAACCAGTTTATTAAGTCTGTTGGTGTCTCCGGCTCCAATGCTGCTCCCCCATCAGACTATGGAGAAGTACAGTGCACTGGCCACAACAGACTGATAGAACATCTCCAACATCTTGCTGCACACGTTGAAGGATCGAAGTTTCTTCAAGAAAAAGAGTCAACTCATCCCCTTCTTGTATACAGCGTTGATGTTGGTCTTCCAGTTCAGTCTGTTGTCGATGGAGACACCCAGGAACTTGTACTCCACCATGTCCACATCCTGTCCCAGAACTCTCAGCGGTTGTGGAGCTGTCGTCTTCCTCCTGAAGTCAACCGTCAACCACCATCTCTCTGGTCTTGACCACGCTCAGAAGCAGGTGATTTCTACCGGCCTACTCCACAAAGTCATCCACTGCCCTGTACTCCTCCCGTCCGTCCCTTATACACCCGACCACTGCAGAGTCATCAGAGAACTTCTGCAGATGGCATGACCCCGAGTTGTACTGGAAGTCAGTGGTGTACAAGGTGAACAGGAAGGGAGACAGAACAGTTCCCTGTGGGGCTCCAGTCACTGACCACCGTATTATGCTACATCCACATTACTCCGTTTCTATTTGGAAGCAGATTTGTCAAATAGAAACGATCTCCGTCCACACAGCCATTTCAGCATCATTCTCGAATTGATCTGCATCCACACGGCAACCTTCGAAGACGGGCAGCACGTGACCATTAACGTACACTGGGCATGCGCGTGACGGTGTAAACAGGAAGTAGATTGGTTGCTTACTTTTAAAAAATATGACAGAGTAATAAAGTAGTCTTTAATAATGAAAGGTTGTATTTGATACTTAAGATCTTCCTCTAAAATATTCCTCTATAAACTCAAAAAGACACAGTTCGTGGAAAGTTTTAGAAGTTTTATTTTTCAGATGTAGTTACAGCACTGTGGGTCTTTCTCTATCTCTCTCTCTCACATCAAATTTACTTTAAAATCAACACGTAAACATTTACGAGATTATGGTCCATAAATGTGGTCAACACACGTCTCACTCGTCCCTCACTCTATTCTGCTCTTTCTTAGCCATCATGTAACATGTCCGACTAGCTAGCTTCCAAGCTAATTTTAACATTACCGCCAATGGAGAAATGCTAACCACGATTAGCATTTAATACAACACAAATGCTATACTAAAAGAGCGAATAGAATATATTTTCGTACATCTTTTCATGCTTCATAAAGAAATACTTACTGACTAAGGTCTCTCAAGGCTACCAAACGGAAGAAGTAAAACGTTAGTGCAGCGTGTCTTCTCATTAGAATCTAAAAACGAGGCACTAACTACGGCAAGAGAGGAGGGATAAATACGAGCATGAAAATGTCATTTTTTTCTAAACACATCAGTTTCCGACCGTCCACACTCAAACGCAACCCTGGAGTTTTCAAACACCTCCAATCTCGGGGGTGTTTTCAAACTCCTCCGTTTAGGGTGCTCCAAAACTCCGGTGTAGTGTGGCCGCTCAGTGTAAACGTAGCAAAACATATGTGTTTCCAAACGTAAACAGAGTAGTGTGGATATGGCCTCAGACAGCACACGGCCCAGTCGGACAAACTGTGGTCTGCCTGTGAGGTAGTCAGTGATCCAGGAGACAGCGGACGCGTTAACTCCCACCACCCACAGCTTCTCACTCAGCAGCAGTGGTTGGATGGTGTTGACTGCACTGGAGAAATCAAAGAAAG